AGCCATAATGAACGTCAGACCTTTAGTTCCTGTTTCAAATGACCCTGAAACACCTGAAGTTCTCTGACCTGCAATGCTTCTTACACAGAAAGCTGGTGCTGTTCCAACACCACCTGGAGACTTTGAACTCGGATCTTTATAAGGCCCAGTGGCGGCAAGTTCAGGGTCTTGCGGATTGCTTTTGGAAAAGATGGGGACAAGAATATCTTCATACACTGAAGACAAGGCAAAAGTTGAAGGGAGAAAGGCGAAATGTCAAACAGGGTGATGTTCCCTTGAAAGACAATCAAGTAAAACGCAATGAGTGGCCTATTGGTATTGTGGTCAAGGCCATTCCCAGTTAGGGTAGGAAACAGAGTGAGAAAAGTTGAGGTTAACATTGTGAAACAAGGTACTGTTAAAACATATTTTAGGCCTGTTCGTGATGTAATAGTACTTTGTCCGAGACTGCCACAAATGTTTGAATAAGAGTGGTATATTTACTAATATACCAGACGGGGAGTGTATTGTGATACTCAGAAGATTTCTTAGTATCTTATTTTCTGTTATTTTACTACCCCCTTGTGGCAGGATTTAAGTTAGGTTTTGTTTTCGTTAAAATTCAGTCGTCAGTGTTTCAACCTTTCTTCAAGCCCCAAGTATCTTTGTCGGTAAGTAGTGTGCTATTGTACTCAAATGTTGTTTGACAGAAGTTTTTCTGCTATTTATGTTTTAAATAGCAGAAAAACTTCTGTTTTTTTAACCATGTTAAATGTGTCCAGCCTTTGTAGCACTACATGGTAAAATTCTAATAGTCTTTCACATAGCAATGTGTGTACTTGAGACGTACAAGTTGTTCATCTATCTTTTTTATGCTTATATTTTTCAGTTTTACACTTAAAATTCAGATGTACAGGGTGTGCTGTGGTGGCGCAGGGGTTAAGCACAACACATGTATGGAGGCCTTAGACCTTGACGTGGCCGTTGCAGGTTCGATTCCCGGCCTGGCAACCTTTGCTGCATGTCTTTCCCCTTCTCTCATTACCAACATTCCTGTCAATTAACTATCAAATAAAGGCCACTAGAGCCAATAAAACCTTTAAAAAAAGATGTTAAAATTCAGATGTACTTCAGCTCGACGTTTGAAGTCTTTTGTTCGCTATCTGTCTAACACAGTCCAGCACGTCTGTGTGAGGATTACCACATGCAAACTTTGGTAACAGTAGATCTACAGTACAGCTTAGACCCAAATCCTCCTTCACACTGACCCACTTCACTGGTAGAACATGAACCAACACAAGGTCTTATGGTTCTGGTCTACTCTGCATCCCCAGAACATGGAAAAGCAGTAAAAGATAGGACTGTAACTGGCTTGAGGAATGTTCAGATCACTGTAGTGAGTCCGGTTAGAACTCCAAAAGAAACAGAGTCGCACTCCAGTGGTCTGCACTTGTGCTTGCTGTTTATTTCGCCGTAATGATGTGGTTCTATAAAATATAAATAATAATGCAGCATCAGTGTCTGATGAATAAATGACTGAAATAATGAAACTTACTAAACAACTACAATATTAATGGTTACGAACATTGCGTTTCTAAATAAACACCACACAAAAACCCATGTTGTGTAGCTCTTAAGTGTGCACGCGAACAAAGTATGCTATCAATTAACTCAAAACCGAAATACTCTGTCAAACAAACAATGTGACCAACTTACTTGCAATTTCACGCACACATAAAAAAAGGTAACAACAAACTGCAAACAGTAAGTCAAACTACACAAATGCAATCTGTAAACTACAGCTCTTTTTTTCTTCTCTCCTTTTTTCATCTGCGTGCTGATCACAGGTGCTCTAAGCTCTAAGTAACTGGAACATGTATTAATTCTGGTCTGAATTACTTCTCTTTGTTATACCACTGTAATGTTTCCTTTTGTTGTTTTTTTTCACTTAAATATTTAGGCCTGAGCACCTCTCAACCTTCACTGAAAATTGTCTCCCACATGAAATTTTTGGATTCCAAGGGAATCGAAAGTAAGCGTGGCCAAACAGCTCTGCAGTGCCACCTAACGTGAGATAGGGGGCACTGAAATTTGGTACGTAGTTAGATCCCCCCAAATAAAAAAAGTCTCTTGGAGCTATGCCCTAAAATTTACAGGAAGGAAGTCATTTTGTATCAAAGGGCAAATGTTGTTGTTTCCGCACCTCAAGGTAAGGCAAGGTCAGGTAATTTTATTTATATAGCACATTTTCAGCAACAAGGCAATTCAAAGTGCTTTTCACTTTCAAACTTAAAAGGTCAAATTTTGGCCTGCACAGTGTGTGTGGGTCACAGGGTGAATCAAGTAGGAGCTCTCCCAGAGGACTCTGAAAATATGTGTCCTGGTGTCTAAACTGAGTCCAATAGCTTCTAAAACAAAAATAAATATTAATATGCCTGAGATTGGATGACTTGTGTGTTTTCTTTTAACTGATGAATGATGGCATCATGTGTAAACAAGCAAAAGGTTCAAATGACAGATTACAGATTAGGTCTACAGTTAGTCTCAGGGAGGCTTAACAGAGCAGCAGCAGCGACCATGTGCTGCACTTATGGCACAGTTGGGTTCCTGCAGACTAGATCAGTGTTTTTCAACCTTTTTTGAGCCAAGGTACATTGTTTTAATTGAACAAATCATGAGGCACACCACCAACCAAAAATGTAAACAAAGATACTCTGTAGCCACCTATATTACATATATAGTCATTCTTATCAAAGTGTCTTGAATAGGAATCAAATAAACACAATGTATTTTTATCACATTTTACATTTTTTATTTCAAAATGCACGTAACATGTCCACTTCAAAAATACACCTGAACACCTAAACAGTGCCACAACAATGTGGTGTTAAATTTAAAGAAGTTGTAGAAAACTTCAGTGTTTTACAAACTAATCCACAAGCATTCTTTTAGCCAGAATACCGAAAATAATTATTATTCTGAAAGAAGCAATGATATTTGGGAAACATTTCACTGTTACAATATGAAGAGTTCCATGTACAAAATGTCAATATCTGTATATTTTACCCATCTAGAATGAAACCTGTGCATATTTGGATGAAAACAGCTGATTTCCTGGCAGAAATTGAAGAAAGACAAAGCTCTCCCTCAACAGCTCTCAGTCTCTCTCTGGTTTCAGTTTTTATAGTAACCAGGCTTGAGAAGCTCACTTCACACAGACATGTTGTGGGAAATGGACCCATGTTCTTTCCAACAGATGCTGAGCTTCACTGTCTTTTCCATCACTGTCGTTAGTCTTGCTAGATACGATGCTCTCACCGCTACCTGTAACATTCATGGCTCACTAATTCTCTTGTTTTAATGTAAAATGCTCTGTACCATCTAGTGGTAAGAAAATTACATGATTACGCCGCTAGCCACTACTAACCATGGTTTCGTTCACGCCGAGCTGAAGTGCAGCGGCTTTATTTCCCTCCTGTAGTGGCAGATCGACAGCCCTCAACTTAAAAGCTGCATCATATGAGTTTGAAAACATTTCTCCGTTGTGCCTGCTGCTAGCATGTGCTTGTTCTAAATGAAAATTAACGCGTTCTTCTTTGATTTACAATTTTGACTTCTAATGATTCACTTCCTGCTAGAGAGCCCCCTGGTGGTTGAAGGAAAGTACACAGAAAAGCCGCACCGGGCTACAATCTGCATGGTTCAAAGTTTAGGAAAAAAGTAGCAGCTTATAGTCCGGAAAATACGGTGCTGTAGGTGAAATTGAATAATTTCCACGGCACACCTGACGATCACTCGCGGCACACTAGTGTGCCGCGGAACAGTGGTTGAAAAACACTGGACTAGATAAACCTGCAGCGGAGAAGACTCAACTCGGTGCCTTCAGTCTTCAGCTCCTGTTATGTCACTGCCAAGAGGCCTGATCTTAGGCAAAGTGACTGAAGTGATCATATTGTTGCCATGGAGGCTTCCTGGACTCTTTCTCCAGTCTCTTTCTCTTTATTTAGGTTTTTGTTCTACATTTTTATTCTTCATTCAATAACCAGTAACATACCACTATGTGGCATGAGTCCTTCCAGCCAACAGTTGACATCATAACAGCAGGTAAAACTCAAGACAGAAAAATCTCTTCAGGTCCACTTCCTGATTAAACAATTAAATGGAAGGAGTGGGGCAAATTTTACAGCAAGAGCTCATAAAACCCAATTATTCAAACCAACAGTTATTGGACCAGTTCAGTCTGTTGTTTCATATATCACTTAGTAAAACCAGAAGACAGGATGCATACTAGATCCAAACTGGACATGTTGTATTATCTTTTTAATATTTTTGTTTAGATTCTAAAGCAGAACTAAAATAAAATAGACTTTATAAAAGCAACTGAATTAATTTACAGAAAGACCCATGACTGATTGGGTCTGTGAGTGGATCACAGGTTCCTGTTCTTCCACCTCTGGTCGCTCAACCCTGACCACGGGGGCTCAGTGGGGGTCCACTATTTGGACCAATATTTGATTTTAGGAGTGCCAGTGTCCTGGCACACTCCTAAATCCTGCCTTAGTTGATCTAAGCTAAGACAGGAACAATCCCAAGCAACATCACCCAGAGAGACACGTCTCCTGCCGTCCAACGTGGCTCGTCCTGCAGACCTTCACCTTGCCTTCACTGCTTTTCCTGGATTAAACCTGAGGCTTTGCTATCTCCCTCACACTCCTATTGAGCAAGCTCTGACCTGGAGGCAACACGGATCTGAGGTCAACTCATCTGGACAGAAACTCCCAGAGCTAGTTGGACATTCTGGCATATGGGCACATGTTAATGCAGAGTGTCGTTCAGTCAGACTGATGAAAAGCTAGAGCAGGAAACGCTGCTCACATTGAAACATTTGGCTGTGACTCTACATGCAAATCAGCATGCTCTGTAGAGCTGCAGAGCTACAGCAGCGTCACAATAACTTCTTCAATGCTTCACGCTGGAGACAGAATGAAATATTACAATATACTGAGAGGAGTTTAACATACCATTTCTCAGGTCGCCTCTTTTCTCTGCAATAAACAAACCATCAATCATGGTTACTCAGCAGTCAGCAGACAGACTGGGGCAGTCTGACTGAGGGTAAAGAAATTATTATTATTTTAGGAGGGATGAAGGCTTGCTGAGGGTTAGAGGAGATGTTAGAAACAGGAGCTGCAGCACCAACCTAGAACACAACAACTACCTCCACAAGGTTTCAGAGCTCAGAGTGACCAGGATTTCAATCAGTGTATCAGAAGCCTGGCAGGCCAGTAACCCTAAACTGGATACATTTCAGTCTGGTTTTCATTAAACAAGGTGATGCTGGAGCCATGAGCCAGTGACATTGTAGCCACCTCTGCGCATTGGTCTTGTAGTAAACTTCCCACTTAAAACTTCAATTTAAATGTAAATTTAAAATCTTTTCATCTGTTTCTGCTGAAGCAATGAAATCAAATTTAACAGCATTGACATTCTCAATAAGCAAATGTTAAAATTCTAGTATAGATGACAAAAACTGATATAATTTAAAATAAAAGCTGGAAAGTAAACTGTATCGTGATATGCTAATTCCATGGCGTAAATATGTCATTCCCCATGCAGAGATAGTCAAGTTTCTGAAATACAGACTGCTTCCCAAAAAAATAACTAAATTACTCAAAGCTTAGCGCAAAGGTTCAGGGCCACCAAGTTTTATGAAACAGGAGAAATATTTCCTGATTATTTTGTCAAGGATACAAGGCTGCTCAGAAGCAGAGAACAAACTAGCTAGCTACAGCTAGTCATGTCTGCTAACTTATAAACATTTGAATAAATCAATGGAAGCAAGAGTTGAATGTGCTAATTTCTCCGTGTCCCGAATCAGATATTCCTTTAGAGAAAATATGAAACAAACTTCAGTTACTGTTGTTAAAGCAATGAAAACAGCGTTGCACGGAGGGGGAGAGAAAAGGAGGCCATGAAAGCTAAAAATCAAAACATAGATTATCATTACAGACATTATTGTAAAGAAATGACAGGTGGAAGAAATGAAAATACACAAAGTTCCTGCTGTTAGGAAGGGTGCACAAACTTTTATTGTTTGCAGGATTTTTTATCTGACATAATTTGGTGTTGAGCATTATTATTTCCTTTTAAAAATATTAAGATTCTTAGTTTTGCACATAATGTTTGCATTTTTAAAAGAACATGAGGGGGAAAGTTAACATCTTGCAAAACTAATGTTCTGTTGAACCACAACAGTTTGTTTAATTAGGGTGTTTAAGTATTTTCATGGGCTGCACAGTGGTGCAGTTGGTAGCACCGCTGCCTTGCAGCAAGAAGGTTCTGGGTTCGATTCCCGGCCCGATTAGGGTTAGGCTAGATGTGAGAGTGTGTGTGCATGGTTGTGTGTCCTGTCTGTCCCTGTGTTGCCCTGCGATAGACTGGAAACCTGTCCAGGTGACCCCGTGTCTCGTGAAAATGGATGGATGGAAGTATTGTCATTTGGTAGCTAATGTCAGGCTGTCTTTTGTTAGCCAAATTTCTATTGATCTATTTTTTATGTTCTTTGACATATTAAACATTTCGTATATATTTATATATGAATATTTTTCATGTAGTTACTTTATAAAAAAAAAAAAAAAAAAAATATATATATATATATATATATTAACCCCCATGCCCCCCCACAAAAAAAAAAAAGAAAAAGCAGAAAATGTGATATTGTTGTCAAGGTATTTAAAAAAACATTTTGTGATATAATTTTTTGGCAAGATCGCCCACCCCTAATTTGGTCCATGCTGTCTTCATGAAGGATTGATCAGAACTCTGACATGTTGTTGTAGAACCTAACTCAACACAACCACCAGGTTCTGCCTGGCCTCCTGCTGGGTTCCCTGATCTCCATGTTAAGAGGTTCTCTGAAGAACCTTTTGAACGACAGGCGCATCTGGTTTACATTCAAAGTCTTTGTGGAGCAGAGGTTGCGCTAGACGTTTTTGTTCTCCGTCATCTTGACCAACAGTATTAAAAAAAAAATGATCATGTGCTATTTTTACCCATCAAATTATAATCATATTAACATCGGCTATGTAGCTGCATTTATATGTGGTTTAGTTAATATTCACCTAGTTGAACCATGAATCCAGATCCCATCACACATAAAGCAGATGAATGGATCTAACTTTTTCTCCATAGTGACAAAAAACACTGACTGTGGCCCCAATAACTTATAATAAATGAAATTAAACGACTCCTCTTAATACCAGCGTTTCTCCCGTTGGGGCCGAATGTTACATCTGCCCCGGTCCTCCTGAGCACCGCTCTCCTTCTAGGCGCGGGAGATAATGTGAACAAAGAGGACTCCTTTTATGGAAACTCCAGGACGAGTTAAGTTTAATTCTTTGCAGTGGTGGAGTCCACATTGGTTGTGCAGCTGCAGAGCACTGCACATGTTACAGTCTACCTTTATTTATTTCCTCAAGATAAACTCCTGGCTCCTCAGTTTAGACTATAAATTGATCAACACAACGTTGCATTCTCTTTAGTTTGCCCTGGTCTGTAACGGAGACTGGAATTAAATTCACCTTTTCAACCAAATGCACTTCTGAACCAGACGCTCCAAAGCGTCCGGTCCATAACTCTTCAACACGCCGTCAGCTCCTGGTCAGAAAGACGCATTTAGTTCAGAGTGCATGACACGATATTCAGAAAGGATTATTTTTAATTGATTGATTTTAGTTGCCTCTGTGATGAACTCTTTACGTAAAGTCTGTAACGTCTGCCCATGTGCAAAAGTCAAGGGTGTTAATTATAACCTGTTAAGTGACAGACAGGCTTAAAATTTCCCCATCGTTGGAAAAAACAACTGGTCAAATACGGAAAATATTCGGTTAACGCGACCTCTGATGTGGAGGTGCATCAAGGGCCGTTGTGGCACTTTTCAAGCGTCTAGAGCGGCGAGAAATGAATTGTTTTGAGCATTTGAAGCGTTAAGAGCATCCAACGGAAAACAATGATTAGAACCGACATGTCTGACGTGGCCTCCACATAGACTTTGAATGTAAACCAGATGCACAGATCGCTAGTTGTAGGACAAAATATCAAGCGCCTGCATTCAAAGTGCACACGCGTCGAACTTGAAGTGTCGGACGCATTTTTGACGCGCGTAATGCTTTTGGTGTGAACGCACCATTAGAGCAGAACCAGACCAGACACATTTAGACTGAAGAGATACTTACACTGGATTGTATTTAGAGGTACCAGAGTAAAGGGGGATTGTTAAATATTATTCATACTTTTCAGATTTTAATTTAAAAAAAATTGTGAAGACTATTCTAGTTCATAATCAGACACTGCTTTGTGTGGCTCCACCCTATTAGATGACAGTAACACCCAGTAATGTGACATGTGGAAAAGGTCAAAAAATAAAGCTGGCACTGGGATGTGGTAGGGGTGACACAGATGTTTGAAGTTATAAGCAGATTGGTCACGGAAGCTGAAGAAGACCAACTCAAACGGCGACACTCACCCGACTTCCGCTGCCTCCGGTTGAGCAAGTCGCTGACAGTCACCCTGAAACGTTTGGCTTCTTCTTCACTGGCAAAGTTCAGGCCCACTTGGCAGCTCTAAAGGGAGGGTGGAGAAGGGAAGGGGGGAGAGAAGCAGCACTGAGCTGATGCCAAGGCAAGACACATGTTTGTGGGCCAGCAGTCTGACACTTACGTCTCCTGCGAAGGTGATGAAGTACGGCCTGGGGCAGCTGATGGAGAAGCTGTGGTAGAGTTCCTGCTCAAACATGCTCTTCCCTTCCTGCAAGAACAGGAGAGTACACAGACATAAAGAATGAACTGCTCTTGCCTATTGTCGCTGACGTGACGTTAGGGCTGATCGTTTCACTCGGTGTTATAAGTTTGGCAGGCGGAGTGAAGGATCAGAGCTTTTAATTTAATCATAACTCGTTAAATGCTAAACAGATTTCCAGGTTTTTTGCTGGAAACCTTATTCAAACAGCTATCATAGCTACATGTGCAAAGACACTTATTTTTTGTAAATATTTGAACTGGATTGATGCATGGTTGAGCTTATTTAAATATTCTTAGTGGGAATAACATAATAGGAATAGAATATTTTGATTTGATGTATGATGAGCATTTTACAAAGCATACGACCACTCATATTTTTTTATATTTATTTAAAGGGGTGTGCATAAGACTGTCATAAGCATGAATGACTCTTCATAAATGTTTACAACTGTTATGAAGTGTCATTCGGCAAATAATTACACTTTTAATGCAAAGTTGACACTTTTAATTTACTTTCAATGCAAGTTTTTGTGCACCTCATTTCAAGGCCTTAACCAAACTGAATCCTAGGTTTTTAGGCGGACCATAGTTTACTTTTTTGGTTCAAGTTCACATTCACAACTCCCCACCAAATGAATTGGAGTTTCTTGGCAGATGGACTGGAGTTGGACTAAAGTGGACTAAAGAGGGCTGGTGTGAATTCACCCTTAAACAGATGCATCATGGTGTCAAGCATTAAAGAATAGGGGCCTCATGTATAAAGGAGTGTGCAGCTTTCACACTAAAAGTTGTACACATGGCTCTATACATCTAGACCTACTGTCCAGTAGGTGTCTCTCCCGTCAGCTACATGTTTTTTTTTCTCTCTTCTTTGGACTGCTAATTGGATACACCGGGCAGATGATAAATACTGATGTCCAGTTAGTCACCAGCCTGCTGGGTTGGCCTCTGGATCAGACTGGATTGGGCAGCAGCACTGCTGGAATAGATGTGCCTCTATTCCAGAACAGCTGATTCAAATGATTGCATGACCATCAAGTGCTGCAGAATCACCCATAGATACAATGCAGGTGTGTAGCAAAAGGGAAATACGTAAAACATGCAGGACAGGGGGGTGGTGAGGACCAGGGTTGAGAAACACTGCTTTGTATTCATAAAGAGCCATTCAGAAAACTGGAATGGCTCGACTGACCTGTCAGCAGCTCCGGCTGGAACAGCACCAGTAACGCACAGCTCCTTCTTTAAGTTCTGCACAGAGCTCCAGGATGATCAGTCTGAGCATTTTAAATGCTAATCCAGTGTTTCTCAACCCTGGTCCTCACCACCCCCCTGTCCTGCATGTTTTACGTATTTCCCTTCTGCTACACACCTGCATTGTATCTCTGGGTGATTCTGCAGCACTTGATAGTCATGCAATCATTTGAATCAGCTGTTCTGGAATAGAGAAAACATGCATCTAAAACATGCAGAGCAGGGGGGCGGTGAGGACCAGGTTTGAGAAACAATGTTGT